TTTCCGATGGATTCTGGCTCCGGGGACGCGAATATTGTGTAATCTATTGGGTTGTATGGCCTCGGGGACGCGACTATGATGTAATTCAGTAGGGATTATGATTTCGGGGACGCGAATATAATTTATTCAATCGTTTCGCTCATTCCGCTGGCCCATGTTGCATGATCGCTACTGCTTCGTCGTGGGCCCGGGGCCATTGTGGCGCCGCCGAGGAGGAAGACGATGAGGATGGGGAAGCGGAGGGGAGGAGAGGATGAGAAGGAGAGGAGGAGGATGAAGATAAGTAGGAGGAGGAGGAGGAGGAAGAGGAAGGGGCGGAGGAGGAAACCTCTCGTTGGCATCTTGTGCTGCTCTCGGGGCCAAACAGGGTCGTCGTCAAGATGCTTCTTTGGGAGGCTTCTTGGAGTCTTTTGAGAAGCCGTTCGGGGGCGCCTGGGAGGCATTTTTGAAGCCTTCTGGGGGGTCTCCTGGGGGCCTCCTGGGGCCTCTTGGCGGGGGCCTCTTGGAGGCCTCTCGGGGCCTCCTGGGGCCCTCTTGGGGCGGAAGGCGAGAGGTTTCGGTTCGTGGTCCCCCTCTTGGGCCCCTCTTGGGGCCGTCTTGGGCCGTCTTGGGCGCCTCTTGGGCCGTCTCGGGGCCCTCTTGAGCCCTTTTGGGGCCTTCTTGGAAGCCTCATGGCCCGTCTTGGGGCGCTCTTAGGGGCCTCTTGGGCCGTCTTGGAGCATCGGATGGCCGACAAGGCGACAAGGCCCAAATCCTTCTCAAACCATTGTAACATGTATGATTTTGGTCTCACGGGGCCCTGTTGTAAGGCCTCTCGGAGGCCACTTGGAGGCCTCTTGGGCCGTCTTGGAGTCATCATCGGCGTCTTGGAGCCTTCTTTGGGCGTCTCGGGGGCCCTTTGGGCAGCCTGGGGGGCCTCTTGGGGCACTCTTGGCGCGCTCTGGGGGGCCTGAGAAGCCACACCCAGGAGGGTGGTCGGGCTGCGGTCGGGGTACTTTTCGCTGGGGGACCCCCAGGGGCCGCCCTGCGCGCGCGAACTAGAAATTTTGTTAACCAGTTACCGGAGATCTTAGCACGGCGAATTTTTACGTGTCCCACGTCCCCCCAGGAATTCAGACAACGCGATTTGGACGTTGGTCAAAATGCTGGCTTGGGGCTCCCCCCCTCGCGCGTTCAGCAACAAATAACATCAAGGAAGCAGAAAGCAGGACTGTAACAGTGGAAAGTGGAAGCTGCAACTGTAACAGGGAGCTGCAATCCTTATCCTCGCAGCCTGGGGGCCCCGCAGGGGGGCCGGCGGATTCGAGGGTACTCTTTTGCTATTCGTGCTTGTTGGATGTTCTTGTGAATTCTGGGGAGGGTACCCTTGGATGTTCTGCGTGCTTTGGCCAGCGGAGGGCTTCGTGTTCTCTGTCCTAGGCTCGACTGCAGGAAAGGATCCAAGGGTGGATTTGCATTGTTTGAGGCACCTCGCCCTCCCAGGACCCCATCTCTCGGGGCCCCACCTTTGACAGACCTGTTATAAGGTGGGCCCGAGCGCAGAGCCTGGAGGTCCGCGCGGACTTCCTCAGGACTGGCGCGGGATGCCCGTGCACACGTCCCTTTCCTAGGCGCGCGGAGCGTGCTGGGAGCCGCGCGCGCGCGTGTCTGTGCGTGTGCGTGAGAGTGTCTGCGCGTGTGCGAAGGTGTGCTTTCACACCGCCCACTGCTGCATTTGACAGTGCGCAGGGGTTTGTACACTGTGCCGTCGACAACGTTCGATTGCAATCAACACTTCCATCTGCTGCTCGCGCCTTAGGAGCTTCTGCGCCGCCGACTTAGAACAAGTGAAGCAGTGTGTGTGTGTGTGTGTGTGTGTGTGGGTGTGTTGTGTGTGTGTGTGCGTGTGTGTGTGTTGTGTTGTGTGCTGTGTGTGTGTTGTGTGTGTGTGTGTGTGTGTTGTGTGTGTTGTGTGAATTGTGTGTGTGTGTTGAGTGTGTGTGTGTGTGTGTGTGTTCGCGTGTGTGTGTGTGTGTGTCTGTCTGTGTGTGTGTCTGTGTGTGCGTGCGTCCATGCGTGTGTGTGTATGTGTGTGCGTGTGTCTGTGTGTGTGTGTGTGTCTGTTTGTCTGTGTGTGTGAGGGGGGTGGGGGGGTGGGGTGCGGGGTTTGGGTGTGCGGGTGCGGGTGCGTGTGTGCGTGTGCGGGTGTGCGGTGTGCGTGTGCGTGTGCGTGTGTGTGTGTGTGTGTGCGTTTGTGCGTGTGTGCGTGTGTGCGTGAACGTGTGTGTGTGTGTGTGTGCGTATGCGTGTGTGCGCGCGCGTGTGTGTGTGTGTGTGTGTGTGTGTGTGTGTGGTGTGTGCGTGTGCGTGTGCGTGTGTGCGTGTGTGTGTGTGTGTGTGGTTGTGTGTGTGTGTGTGTGTGTGTGTGTGGTGTGTGTGTGTGTGTGTGTGTGGGGGGTTCGTGTGTGTGTGTGTGTGCGTGTGTGTGTGTGTGTGCGTGTGTGCGTGTGTGTGGTGTGTGTGTGTGTGTGCGTGTTGTGTGCGCGTCTCTGTGTGTGCGGGTATATCCAGACAGCTCGAGGCCTCCGAGTGCCTTTGGCCACAGTTTTGGCACAGGAAACTGCACCGATTAGGTGACCCTAGACCGGCCATGCGCTGTCCACCCAGACAGCGCGTTGCCTCTAATCTCCATCGGCCACAGTTTTGCCACCAGTCGCCGCTCAGGCGCACCTCGTCTGACCAGGAGCTGCCCTCCCCGCGCGGCGCGTGGCCTCCATCGGCCCCGGCCAGCGTTTTGCCCTCGGCGTGACGCGCGGCGCGCCCAGCGTTACGTCGTTGGGACCGCCTGCCTGGCAGCTGCAGCGCTGGCGCTGGGCCGCCTGGTGCCGTCGCCCCGCCTGCTGGGGCTTCGCTTCCCCGCGGGCGGGGGCGCTCCTCCCTCCTGTCCTTCCCTCCCTTCCCCCGCCCCTTTCCCTCCCTCCTTCCGCGCGCCGCCATGGCGACGTCGCTGCAGCCTCGGCTGGCAGCTCCCCCTGGTGGTGGTGGTGTTGGTAGATCCTGCGCCTCGCCGCGGCCCTCACTCTACATCCAGCGCACCATCTTGCTGTTGGCAGTCTGAAGCCTAGATTGTTTTCTCGCCACTTGCAGTACTTAGTCGGCCCTTGCCGCGTACTGGGCATCGGCAGTGCCCGTGGATGCACTGATGCCGCGGCCCGTCCGCTCCCACGGTCCCCGCTGCCAGTGCTGGCCGCGCCAGCGCGCTCGGGATGGAACTCTTCTGCTTCTGAGTGCCCCACTTCCACAATCGCTCGTCGGCCGCCCCGAATTGGTTGACCGCTGATGCGCGATACTGATGCCTCGCCGCCGACGAAACAAGTGCGTGCGCGTGCGGGTGCGGGTGAGTGTGCGTGTGTGTACGCGCGCGTGTGTGTGTGTGTGTGTGTGTGTGTGTGTGTGTATGTGTGTGTGTGTGTGTGTTTGTGCGTGTGTTTGTGTGTGTATGTTTGCGTGTGCGTGTGCGTGTGCGCGCGTGTGCGCATGTGCGCGTGTGCGCGCGTGCGCGCGTGTGCGCGCGTGCGCGCGGGTGCGCGGGTGCGTGTGCGCGTGTGCGCGTGTGCGCGTGTGCGCGTGTGCGCGTGTGCGCGTGTACGCGTGTGAGCGTGTGTGCGTGTGCGCGTGTGCGCGTGTGTGCATGTTCGCGTGTGTGCGTGTGTGCGTGTGTACGTGTGCGCGTGTGCGCGTGTGTGCGTGTGTGCGTGTGTGGGCATGTGTATGCACGTGTGCGTGTGTTCGTGTGTGCTTGTGTGCGTGCGTGCGTGTGCGCGCGTGCGCGTGTGCGTGTGATTGCGTGCGTACGTGTGTGTGTGTGTGCGTGTGTGTTTGTTTGTGTGCGCGTGTGTGTGTGTGTGTGTGTGTGTGTGTGTATGTGCGTGAGTGC